ACTTCCAAATCTTCTTCTTTCTCTCTCGATCTTCCTCTTTCGACTCTTCTATCTGCTCTTCATGGCTAGAAAAGGAAAAGGAAAAGGAAATAGAGCCGCTCCAGGTCGTAAGGAAATCGGCGGACCGTCTACATCCACATGCCATGGTCGTCGAGCCAACGGCGGAGGTGGTCAAGCCTCAGTCGGAAACATGCGAGTCTTAGGCGGAGAAGGTACACCAGCTGTCAATGGTATTGAAACCTCACTCAGATCTGCTCGAGTCTCAGGCAGAGCCGAAGGTGTTAGATCCGTTGTCGAGGGGACCAGCGGAGTTCATGGAGCATCATCGCACTCCTCTAACCTCTCTTCTCATGGACCAGCGTCTGTGTCCAGAACACAAATTCCGTCTCAGTATCCACCGGCTTCACAACCCCAAGGCGCTCATCACCTCCCCTTTCCGATTCCAAACCCTCAACCGCCAGCCGTAGCCTAGTGAAGCTTTAGGTTTCTCTTTTAGAGAAAAACAGAGAAGCTTTGGGTTTCGCATTTTTTTGTAGCTAGTATACTTGGTGTAGCTGGGTTCGCGTTTGCCCTAAAGACGGTCAATTCCGCAACCTTAATCTCTTCTTCGGTAAAGCAAACGGTGGAGAAGCTACATCCGCAGCAGCCGTTGGTGGTAGTAGCTTTTTTGTTTTTCTGAGATTTTTCTAAAAATCAGTTTTTGATTTCAGGGGTTTGTTGTTGGTTGCATCACCGGGAATTGCAGGTTTTATGAGATCTCAGGTCACTTCAAAAACTCAAGATTTGTAATTGATTTCATAATCATTTGCGTTAATTATTGGTTTTAAATTTTGGGTTATTCTTTAATAGGAAACGATGTGATAAAAAGGTGAAATTGCAAAGGTAAGAACAAGTATTGCATCAATGGAAAGCGATAAAGAAGAGCAAATGGTTTTCTTGGGTAAACGGTAAGAACCACTCGAACCTAAGCTCTAATTGATGAATTATAAGATTGTGTTTTCTCAAATTTATACAAGGACTCTCTTTTGGCATCTTTATTCACTAGTTTTTTTGTTTTGTGGAATGACCAAATTGCTTTGATGACGAAGTAGAAGAAGATGAGCAATTTTGGAATCAAGAAGCTCTTAAAGAGGTCTTTTTTGTCTATTTTCCTTTGCTAGAGATTGGGATTGATTTATACATGGAAATGTTGAAACTTTTGCATGTGTGTTGTCATTTTATATGTCTTTTACCTTTGGTATCTGCAGGAAGAACATGATGATAACTATGAAGCAGAAGGTGAAGTTGCTGATGAGTTTGATAGCGACTTCAGTGACGATGTATTTACTACGTGTTGCTTGTATATTTCAGTATCAGTTACTTATTCATCAAAGTGTTGCTTGAATCCTGTTTTTTATTATAAGTTCTTTCTTTTGACTGTTTTGGGAATATGAGCCTGAGCCTGATGAAGCGGTAGCAAACGAAAAAGAATTGAGGTTTGTTCATCCTCGATGTTCATCTCGTGATTGCTTTTTTTTGTGTATATCATTTTAGTTGTTTTACAATTTTGCATATTGTTGTAGAGATTTGCCGAAGAAGTGGCTAATTTACCCTGGGAAAACTGCTCCAAAGAAAAAGAAGAAGAATGTGGTTTCGAAGATAGAAGATATTCCTGAAGATGAGAAGCCAAGTGAAGAATCGGAAAACAAGGAACAAGACGAAAATGAATCACAAGAAGATATGGAAGGTGAAAAGGCCATGAACTCTTTTAATTTATGCTTTTAAAACCTCGTTTCTGGTTTTTGAACACATGTTATGTTTCGGATAAACATCTTTTGTACTTATGTGTGTTTTGAACTTATGTGTGTTTTAAACATATGTTATGTTTCCGTTAGTTAGTATTTCAAAACATTTCTTTTCTTAATTTACGTTTTGAATTTCAATAAACCAATTCAATATAATATAAATGTGGCATACATATATATTTCAGTAAATAAGGTCATAGAATAGTTGCAAATTTGTGACTGATTTGCAACACTATCCTTGAAGAAACCAAAAAAATAGTTGCAATTTTGTTGTTAATGAGTGACTCTTTCAAGACCATTTTGCGACTACCACTGTTCATTAGCATCTCTACTATTAGTCTTAAAAGCGTCACACATATATTTCTCAGTCGTATATTTGTTGCAAATCTACGACAATCTAATTGCGTCTCAAATTGGTCACATATTATCAACTATTATATACAGTCACAAAGTAGTCGCAAATAAGCGACTCTTTTGAGACTGTCTTCATTTGCGACGGATTATTCGCGACTACTATTTGTAGTCACTAAGTAGTCGCAAATGGTGTATTTGTGACTCTTTTTGGAGTCACTAACGGCCTGTTTTCTTATAGTGTCTTACGACATTAAAAAAAATGGAATAAAGGAAGGTTTAAGAGATTAATTTAAACCTGAGAAATTGAGTCAGTGAATTGGGTAAGTGTTGGTAAGTGGGTCAAGCTTCCGGCTAAGGTAGAGGTTTCCATTGAGTTGATAGGGGATTGGAGCATCATGTTACTTGAAGAAATATTGGCATGTAATTGTGA